ATCACTAACACTCAATTCATTTATATGATATGCCCTAAAAAGGTAGTTTTCTCGAGATAGAACCCATACTTACTCAACTTTACATACAACTTCTTTTCTCTGAGAACCTATAAAATCTAAGTAAGATGGTGAGCGTGTTCCTCTATACTTTTTGAATATATCAGGATATCATCGATAAATACAATGACAAATTGATCCAAAAATTGTCTGAAAACCTTATTCATCAAATCCACGAAGATAGCACGTGCATTGGTTAGTTCAATGGCATAACTAGGAACTCATAGTGTCCGTACCTAATTCAAAAACTATTTTAGGAATGTCATCTGTTTGATCTTTACTTGATGGTAATCTGAATGCATGTCTATTTTGGAGAATACCTAAGCACCCTGGAACTAACCAAAAAGATCATCGATCTTGGAGATTAAATACTTGTTCTTGATCGTGACCCAGTTCAGTCCTCTGTAGTCAATATATAACACTAACATCTCATCCTCCTTCCTTACAAATGTAACTCCAGCACCCCAATGGGAGACACTATGTTGGATAAATTCACTATCCTATAATTCATTGATCTGGTTCCTCAGCTCCTCCATCTCCACACGCCTCATGCAATAAGGGGCAATCGAAATAGGTTGAGTGTCTGGCTGAAAATCTATAGTGAATTCAACTTTTCTGTCCACTGGCAGTCCGGGTAGTTCATCTAAAAATACATCCGGGAAGTCTCGGACTATCGGAATCTCTCGAATACAATTTTTTTTAAGTTTGCCTAGTTAGAGAAAACAGCTGAGTTAAAACACTTAATAATAGGAAAAATTACCATAAGAGAATAATGTTTAAAAAATTTTATTAATTTATAAATGATTATTCATTAGGAGGGTTGAATACAAGTTTCTTATGAAAACAATCTACGGTAGTGTAATACGCCACTAGCTAGTTCATTCATAGGATTACATTAAAGTCTCTTATGTCAATCTCTATTAGATCTATACTCAATTTTTTATCTGTTATATCTATGATACAGGCTTTGTATATAACCTCTCCAGTAGTGTCATACTCCAGGAGTAGACACAAATAATACAAAATTAAGTTTTTCAGGTAATACATTCAAGTTTAGTGTAAAAGCATATGAAACAAATGAATGTGAGGCACCAACATCAATCAAAATATGTGCAAGATAATTGCATATAGTGTATGTACCCTGTATCACATTTGGGTTGGCTTCTGCATCTTGCTGAGTGAGGTTATAAGTCCTATCCTAGATAAAAGATATGACATGATTCTGATTTCTCGAGCACTCTCTCGCGTAATGTTGAGCACTCCCACATATACGACCAGTATCGTTGAGGCGATAGCAAGGTCGGTCCCCATGATCATTATCATAGTGCTGACAAGTCCTACCGCGTCCTGTTGTCGGAATCTGATGAGGAGCTTGAGTCACTGGTTTATGTCTCTTGTTCTGCTGAATAGATGTAGTGGGTGCTAATCTACGGTGTGAAACCGAGGGTCTGAGGTTCCTTATTGTTGGAGAAAAAATATGAATGTTCCTCTCCACTAACTGTGCTTTAGCCAGAACAGTCGAGTAAGAATTGAGCTCAAACACATACAACTGTTGTCTAATATCATGATGGAGGCCCCACTAGAACTTTCTTGCTTATCTACCTTCATCTATCATGCTCTTAGGGGAATACTGATCCAACTTTATGAACTTTCGGGTATATTTTGATACAGTCATATCACAATGGACTAGGTGTGCAAACTCCATTTTCTTCAGATATCGAAGATGCACTGGAAGGTACTTTACATTAAAGACAATCAAGAACTATTCCCAAGTGACTGGAATGGGCAAGGTGGCCTACTTGAGTTACAACCAGCGCCCTGACTCTCCCACCAGCATATAGGTGGCAAGTATGACTCTCTGTTCGGGAATCACTCCAAGAGTCGTGAAAGCCTTTTCTATCTTAGCTAACTAGTACTCAGCCTCTTCAAATGAGGACACCATGCAAATGGAGATAAGTTTAGTCTTTTATACTTCTCAATGTAGTATGGGTTCATCATGGGAGGAACTAAGTCCTGTAGAAGATGGACTAAATTGTGCTGGGGATGGAGCGGATGGCCCTATAGTGGTACTGGATGATACGGTGGAGGCACCATATTGTATTGTGGTAGTGCCTAATGATTTGGTTGGGACACCGGGCTATATTGTGGTGGTGCCGACTAATGTAGTTGGGACATCAGACCATACTGTGATGGTATCGGATGGTACTGTAGAGGAGTAGGGTCGTACCGGGTAGCTCAAAATCCTTCCGCCGTAGGGGTGACTCAACCTGTGGCAGCGGGGGAGGGTTAGGTAGTTCCCTCCTTTCCTCTTAAGCTTGCTGGGCAGTAATGAGTCTCTCCAGCATTTCAAATAATCGGTCAACATCATTTCGAACTGAACCCTCCCAAGTTGTTCAATTTAATGGGGGTCTTTCTATCATCATCTATCTGTAGCTGTATTTCACAAAAAATGATTGAGTGATATTTCATTTTTTTGGTGATTTCTAAGGTTTTTGTGTAATGAATGGTTCCAATGAACACGGTTCTGATACCAACTGTAACAGCCTATAACTTAAAAGGAAATAAAATCGTAAATTGAATGCGGAAGTGGAATAATTGAGTTAGGGTTTACATTCCTTACACAATAGTTTTAAATATCCAAAGGGCTGCGAGAATGTCTCTTCTAAAAGAACAAATAAAAATCAAATAAATAAACAAAAAGTAAACAACTGAACATCTTAAGACGACTTTCATTAGCTTTTGAATGAGTTCGGGTGGTGAACTATTCACAACCATCTTGTTAATCAGGATCTGAGTCTTTGTCCTCTTGATATAAAATAGTTAATGAATGGGTGAACTACACTAGTTTAGTAAGAATATCACACTACTCACTGATACAGAAAATGAAAGTTATAAAAAATCATAAAAACAACTAATTGAGCTCTTAATTTAAGTAAGTTCATTTATCATAAGTAAAACCATTTATTGCCTACTTACTGTTATGAGATTTCCAAAATTGATCTATAGAGACAATAATTTAAATAGCATTCCAATCTCATTTTCAAGCAAACAAGAATAACAAACTTCCATTTTTATTTGCTTATTGGTATCCATTTTGGTCTATAGGGATATCTCACTACGTATGAACTATTATTCAACATTGTCAACTAACCGGCCATTTTCATACCTCATATGGTATGAGTGCCAATAATAATATCCCTCAATACCCCGTCTGGTATGAGGGTGAAACGAGTCGTCTCCATACCCCGTCGGTATGAGCGCAAAAAATACTAATATTTGATACCCTATCCGGTATGAGGTGACGTTCACGGTAAGATTTCTTATGTACCTGGTTTGTCCATAATTTTTCAGGATATCCAGTAAATTTACCATTCATTCATTTAACATGTCTCATTTAATTCAAATATCAATCAATCTCTGGACAATTAAACTGACAAGTACAATATCATTTTTTATTGTAACATTTTATTATAATATTGTAAAATTCTATACCAATTTATAGAAATATTTTGTATTGCATATGTGTAGCCTGTTTTTGAATGCATTTTCTTTAGCCAATTTTGCTTATAAAATCATTAGGCAATAAATAAACAAACTTTCGTTCTATAGTTATCCCACATTCATTTTTCAAATAGATATACAAGAACAAAAGCAATATGTATCTCAAAGCAACAAAGCATTCTAATTACAATTAAAGTGCACAACTCTTGTGGAACCTTTTAAATATCGTAAAACTAATTTTTGTGCCCTTTATCTTTTTTTACTAGTTATATAATAAGCGAAAAAATTAATTCATAAAAATACACTACTACAAGTTTTGTATATATTAAAAAAAAGATTACTCAATCAAAAATTTAATACCATTAGTAATGTGTAGTTTTTTATATCGTTATCAATTATTTTTATTATGTTTAAACACATAAAATATTTCATATAATATATTATTTTATAATAATATATATTTTATTTTTTATCTTATTGAAATAATATAAAGTATTTTTTCTTTTTAAGTTTTATTTTACTGAATTTCTTTTGATTCCATTCTCTTTTATTTCAATAAAATGATATTGAATTATGATAACAATTCGTATTAAAATACATAAACATAATATAGATTATAGTTAATTAATTTCAAAATGTAATTTTAGTATATAACGTGATAATTATTAATTATAGATTTTTAATAAATACGAATACAATTAATAATAATTTATAATAATAAATTATGAAATAATTATTAATTAATGGTAATAAGTAGTAGCAAAATACGACAACATACTATAAAAAATTGATAATTAACTTTAATGCACGGAAACATTTGATTAGCTATTAATTAAAATAATTCACATTTATACCATCATACATATATATATAATTAAAGTACGCACACATACAAAATCAGTTGGTTTTCATTTTATATATATAATTAAATAATCCAAATGTAGATGTACCCATTTTCTAGTGAGTGTTTGATTATATTTTCCTTTTATTTTTTATATTAGTAATAAAAAAATTAACAAGCAATAAAATTTAGAAGTGTTTTTACAGAAGAATAATTTTTTTAATTTTTAATAAAAATAAGGTTAAAATTATATATATATATATTTATATAATTTGTGTTTTAAGAGGTAAATAATAATATATTATATTCATTAATTTTATATATAATTGATTAGTTTAATATTAAACAAAAATACCATAAGAATTTATTGATAATTATTTTATATTTATTAAAACAGAGTTAAATACTTTTATTTTAAAAATAAAATAATAATGATTTATAATTTATTTATATTGAACGTAATTGAATTAAGATAATTGATATTATTATATTCCTATTGTTATATGATTTTTTATTATTTAAAAAATTTATTATTTCTGTTAAATAATTAATTAAAATATTATTATTATTTTTTTTAATAGAAAATTCATCAAAACTCTTACTGTTTTTTTCTTGAAAGGGGGAGACACCGTAGGGAGAAATACCGGCGAAAAGAACCGGCCCTATTTTAGTCGGTAACGGAAACCCTTCTCCACAAAGATGAAGAAACCCAGGCTGACGCCACCGATACCACCACCGTTACTCCCGCTGATCCCTCAAACCCCTCAAAAAATCTCAACAACACACCTCAAATGGACGCCTCTGAATCTCACCCGGTCCGATCTCTCATTGCCCCTCACTTTCCCTACCGGCCAGACCTTCCGCTGGAAGCAAACCGGACCTCTCCAGTTCAGCGGTTCTATCGGTCCCCATCTGGTCTCCCTTAAGCACCACCCGAAAAGCCGACACGTTTCCTACTGCCTCCACTACAGCACTGATGCCTCGGCCGCCAAGCTCGCGCTCCTCGATTTCCTCAACGCCCGCATTTCTCTTTCTCAAATTTGGGCAGTCTTCTCGGCAGCGGACCCGCGGTTCGCTGATCTGGCTCTGCATTTGCAGGGTGCTCGGGTGCTGAGGCAGGAGCCGCTCGAGTGCTTGATTCAGTTCTTGTGTTCCTCAAATAACAATATCGGGAGGATAACTAAAATGGTAGATTTCGTTTCTTCTTTAGGACTTTCTTTAGGAGTCGTTGGTGATTTCAAATTTCACGAGTTCCCGTCTTTGGAACGCTTATCGATGGTGTCAGAGGAAGAACTTAGACAAGCTGGTTTTGGTTACAGGTCTTTTGCTCATTACTTCAATTCTTTGAGCTTCATCTGATTGCTCTTAATGTAAATTCTCATTGATTAGTTGAATGTGCCAATAATTGCGTTTCCTAATGTTCACTGTTCTAAATTACTGCATTGTGAAGTTAGGTTGCTCTATGATCTTGTTGCGCGTGTGTTCAGGTTGAGAATACTTGGTTTCCCTAGGCAGCAGATTTTACTTTCCAGAATTGACATTATACTCGGAAAATTTTCTGCCTCATACAAATTATGCTATCTTTTCTGGTATTTGGCAAGGCGGTATTTGATGTGTGATTATTGTTCACGGTACATGTTGAGCAGGGCCAAATATATAATTGGTACTGTAGATGCTTTACGATCAAAACCTGATGGAGGAATAAAATGGCTTCTGTCTCTTCGTAAATTGGACCTGCAGGAAGTCATTGATGCTTTATGTACTTTACCTGGTGTTGGCCCCAAGGTAGCAGCGTGCGTCGCTCTCTTCTCTCTTGATCAACACCAAGCCATTCCTGTTGACACGCATGTGTGGCAGGTATACATTGCAAAGTTAAATAGTGGAACCTACTTTTTGATATAAATACAGTGGAGATGGTTGGTTTGATGATATCAGAAATGGGCTGGAACAAAATGGTGGCCATCTTGTTGAGGTCCTTAGATTGAAATCCTATTTTATTTTGTGGGCTTCCAGAAATAGACATGATACTGATTTGCTACCTGTTAATGACACTCTTTTTTTTCTTTTCACAAAATGAGAATCAGCCAGCTGGAAAAATTCTTGCAACCCCCAACTTGTGGAGAATTTGTTTAGTGAATGTCAGAAGGAAACACAGATTCAACTAACTCTTGAGCAGGCTGACTGATTCGCATTTCCATTTGTTCTTGAAATAGAAATGACGTGATTTCAATATCAAAGGGAAAGTTTGCTGTTGCCTGGGTTCACATGTCCAATACCAGACATGTTTGAATGAGACTTAGTTGTTGTGTAGTTTTCAAGTACGTTGATCTCATTTAGCCAAAAGATTTAGATTGTGAAGGTATTATGGGTTTATGAAGTTGTGGGTAATTGATTGCTCAACTTGAACTTGGTCACTATGTAAACTTGGCAATTTGTGTGCTGTCATTGACTAGAGCTTGAATTTTTGGGGGTTTATGAAAAAAAGAGCAGAGGGAGTTTGACTAACTTATTTGCTATATTGATATTTGAATTAATGATCTTTGAAGTAGTTGGTAATTTAATGATGAAAAATGGTGTTCGAAGGAGCACTTCTTTTCAGGTTTTATGCAAAAGTAGAATAATCGACTTTGCCATGTTGTTTGCAAATTCTGAAATTTTGATCATCACATGGCAGAGCACATATTGCCCAAAAGAGGTGCCTCTGGTTTGATTTTACTGTTTGAGAATCAGTAATAGTCATTGTTAGAATTGTATTCTTCACAAATTGAATTCTATAAATGAATTGCTATGTAGAATTATAGTTGAATAATTGAAACTGATAGTGAATCGCACTAATCGTTTTGAATTTATTGATTCAATAGATTCTAGTTAAAGTTAGGTTAAAAAAAGATTTTGGATCAATATGTTGGATTTTAACTACATTTGTAACAATAAAAAAAAAAAAATCTATCTTTAATTTTTCGGATGGTTTTAATGTGATATTCAGAAAAGGCAAGCAGTCTTCTAGATTAAAAAGACCTTTCTATTTCCCTCTTATTTCTTCAGTTCTTTGAACTTTGTTAAACAAATTGTGTTTGTGGAAGCATTTTGAGGATGGTATAAGTCATAGAACTCTTGCTAGTTTGAGAAATAAAATATGTTCATGGTGTAATATCATACATATTTCCCAATTTTCCTTGGAAACAAGTAATTTTTATTGTCTACAATACTAGTGTTGGAAACAAGTAATTTTTATTTGTATTTATATGGAAACAAGATCTGATTTGCAGATTATATTTTAAATCTTACGGTTTAGTTTATGATTCTCGATGTAAAGAACTAGGATATCGATTCTCAGTTTGAACCTGTATTCAACAACTATGGTGATACTATTATTTGACCGAACAAAGACAAAATAGAAAAATTTTCGTAGAATACAAAACCGAGAAGGTAGTCACGTTACGCTCTTTATTTGCATTATCTTCTGTTTGAATTATAATGCAGCATCTAGGTAGTTTGTATATTGCTGTGAATTAATTAAGTTCTGATATAAAAGTTGACTTTTTTTTTTTGAGCAAGATTGCTACAAAATACCTCCTCCCTGAGCTTGCTGGTGCCCGCCTTACACCCAAGCTTTCTAGCTGTGTGGCAGAGGCATTTGTGAGCAAGTATGGGAAGTATGCTGGCTGGGCTCAGACCTTACTTTTCATTGCTGAATTACCTGCACAGAAGATGCTCCTACAATCATGTCCTGAAGCTATCAAAGAGAATAAACTTGCTGAGGGAAAGGATGATGAAACAATTTGCGGTGGCTGAAATGACAACTATATCCAGGTCTTTCAGATTGGAAACCAGATGCTCTCCTCTATGCACCTAACTTCCTTGATTGTTTTGACTTTTTATGCGTCTCCTTTGAAGAGCAAGATCCATATGATGCTATGTCTTCAATCATCTCAAGGAATGGAATCTAAATGATGTACCATGTTGTCATTTGAATGTTTGACTGAAGGATGAACTGCGTGGCTCTGAGAGTTGCTTCTATCATTTATGAGCCATACCCTGCACTTGCAGGTATCCCTATTTTTTTAATGTATTTCTAAAAGATTTCTTTTCAGGGTTTCATATTTTAGATTAGCTCCTTATGTTGATTTTGAGCAGTAATTAATTTATTGTACTTTAACTTTTAGTTTTCGGCAAACTTTTTGTTGGTTGTGGCCTTTTCCTCAGACAGTTAATGGCTGAAACAAGTGAAGAATAAAACATTGCTGGGAACAGAAAACCCTAATTGAAATAAAACTGGTTAAGAAAGGGGTGGTTTAAACTAACATAACATACTTCAGGCTTCCGGCCTTCCTCTTTGGCATGCACCAACAAATCTAATGTACCAGTCAATGGCTTTGGCATCTGTCAGATATTATGCTAGCCCCAAGTTCGGAACAATGATTTTGTTCTACAGCCTTAAAAACTTTGAGCTGATTCTTGCAACCGAGCCCTCAACCTTATCCTAAATATGCCTAGCTAAAATCTGGATAAATCGTGTTCATGTGGGACTAAGAAATATCTTAATTTTTGTAAGTAAATAAACTACAGGGGTAGGACTTATCCATGTGGCTGCTTGCTATGGGTATTGTCATTGGAATAGCACTTCGTTAAATGTTCACTTGAGTTTTAACTGCTGTTGAGGCTATAATCACAAATTATGTGTGGTAAAATCAACCTCCAAGCGGGGTCCCACTTAAAGAAGGTATATGTCTATTTGAAATCTCAGGTAAATCTATTTCTCTCCTTCATTAAGTATTCCTCGGGTGCCATTCGAGCCAGACCTCCTGGTTGAAGTATTATTCTTGTTTCACTTGATGACCACTTGAGTGGTAAGCGGTTTAGGGGAGAATTCTCACTTTAAAATAACTTAAGGAAGAGAGGAAAGATCATAGTCAATGGTTGCCCTATGTGTTTGTAGGAGTATGAATTCCCCACCTCCTTTTGTGCTTGGAGGCTAAAGGTTGTTGGATTCAATGGCTGGCCTTTTAAACTTGAGCTTGGCAGTCACAGGGTCGGTTGAGCAAGAGCTGTGAGCTTGGTCAGGCAGTGAAGAATGTAAATCTAGGCAGAAATTATATAAGCTTATTTCCATGCCTGTAATATTGTTCAAGAAACAAGAGAACTTTTGATGATATATGCTCCCTTTTTGATAGGATTAGAGGTCATTGGTCTAATGCCCTAAGTATTTTGGTGACGGTATCCTCTTCTGGATAATGGGGATTTGTGGACCATTATTGGCATTTTGGTTTCTAACACTTTGTAAATATTTTTTAATATGGGTTGCATCCTGTTGGTGCCTCCTACTGATGTTTCTTTTTATGCTAAAAAGAAATGGCAAGAAATATTTCAAGTTGATTATTTGTGTTGACCATGTGTTAGACCACTCTTCTTGCTGTTTATGTTTTTTTTAATGGTTGGCAGTTGCTTATTATATTTATGTACATAATGAACTTAAACTGCCACTTATCACAATGTGACTGAACTGTATATTGAGAAGTTATCAAGAATGTACAAGAAAACTTATTCTAAGATACTCATTTTAATGCAGACCTCCTGGTACTTTATCAAATAGGAAAGTTTTTAAGTAATTAAAAAAATCTTATTCACTGAATTGCATATCGAGAAGTTTAACAAAACTGTAATGAATCATGTACACTGTGCATCAACCAACAGAGCTTTTGTGATGCCTGGGCATGGATCCTCTCCAAAGTATTCTTCAGATTGAGGAATCGAACACCTTCTTATCCTTGTACAAGCCTAGCAAATTATACCACAATAAAGTATTAGTCTAACTAAATGAAAACAGTATGCAATGTGTAAAATATTTACATTAGCTTCTGTACATGAAAGGTGAGCCCTTCATCTCACACAGACATGCTTGCCTACAAACATTTGTTTGCTAATGAGGTTTTAGTTCTGAGCTAGATATGACTAAACATCTGCATAAGCAAGTTAGTAGGACTAACTGCTTTACTTTTAAAAAAAGAAAAAAAAGGACTAACTGCTTACGTGACTTATCCCAGAGCAGGTTACTGAGCAGTTTTATTCACTCTTAGGGTGTGTTCATAACAGATTAACTATTTTTATAGAATTTATTTGGATTTTCATGCTAGACATTTTTTTTGAAATAAGATTTTCATGCTAGACATTAGAATGAGAAAATTCAAATATCAAATAAGTTATAAGTTGAAATGGAATAATACATTCCAAGTTTCATGAGAATTGGTAAAATTTGGGAAAGGAATTTTTTTTTGAAATATGAAAGTTGAAAAAAGATTATGAATGTTTAAAAGGGAAGTTCTCTCATTTGTTTGGTTCTTGTCTTCGCTAGACTATTTAAGATATGAGAAATGGAAATGACTTCATGAAACTAAGATTTCAATTAAAAAAGAAGCTCATTTGTTCCTACAATATTCTTAGAGAGTTTTTTTTTTTCTTAAATTCAAGTAGATATCTTGTTATTTTACTTGCAAATTTTTAACTATAACTGAATTATTTAGTTAAGTGAGAAAAAAGAAGATAAAAAGACTGTAGTAGGCTAATGCCATATATGTGCCGTATCTTTTTCCTCCCTGTTTCTCTTTGACTTATAAGAGAGCAAAAACAATTATCTAGTTTTGCATTTATTGTTGTCAGAATGGATTTTTATGCCATAGACCTTTAATTTTGTTCTGGAATGAACAATAGTAATTTATTCATAATTCTATGTTATTCAAATTAAGGCTCTTTTTCACTGTGAAGAAGATGGTAGAGAGGGAGCTTTCTGAGGTTCAAGCCTTCTTTAATTTATTGATGTCTTTGGGCTGGTGCATGGACCATACTACTCCATATAACTAACTATCAAGATGGTGAAATCTGAAGAGAACCTTGTGTAGGATAAAGAATGAGTTAATTGGAATTCTAATCTTGTTTTGTTAAGGTTCTCTTGTACTTCTTCTCACTAATATTACATGCAGACCATCAATTTGAGCTGAATGATACTAAATTCAATTTTAGAAAGAACTTACCGCTTCTATGATGGTTCTGGAACGAGATGAGTGGCAGCTTCCAATGGAATAACTTTCACAATCACCAGAAGGTGTTCCAAAGCTTGCAAATAAGATCTTGGAAATGTTCCTTTCTGGAGGACACTGGAGGTGGACTGTCGGCAATCTGCCAGGATTCTTTTTGTCACCTTTTCCTCTTTGATTTTGTGTCACTCCTGAAGTCACTGGGGGCAAATGTGAATCAGTCACATGCCCACATACTTTTGTTATTGATACAGTGTCTATGGTAATCCCAGTGGGGTACCCATCTTCTTCTTCCAGCAGAACTACTAGGTTATTGGTGGGTCTAAGGAAGGAGCGAGGCACGTTATACCTAGAAAATGAATCAACAATAAGTAAAAAGTCCACCTTGAATTATCCTGGGGCAGTTGTGGGTTTAACGGAATTTCTTGATAGTGAAATAAAAATAAATATAAAAGCAAAATTTAAACAATGTACATTTGGAAAATAGGAAAATTTTTTATCCAATTCGAAATCATATTCAGTTGGCTTAAAAGCTACTGCATAGAATTTTACCATTTTTGCGAAGGATTCATGTTAGGGGTACGGAATGAGATCCAATATCGGCCAATGCTTTGGCCATTAACCCAGGCTTCTCCCTTTTTCATGGAGCCAAGGTTCAGTGCGACAGGATCATTTCCAGCAGGTGCGTTGAAGACTGTCTGCTCATCAGCAATGAAAAGAAAGGTGAGTGCTGTTGATCAGATTTGTTAAATGTTCAATCAGATACATGATTCAACTTTTGTATATGTAACATGTGAATATACATATATTTGTTTATATATTTATGGGAGTGTGTATTTATTATAAAAAAATATTTATGGAAGTGTGTACAATAGTGTTGCTCTGGTAGTCTTTGTTAATTTATATATTTACTTAAATTTTCTGCTAAATTAAATGAAAATCAACTAGATCATGTTGTGATGTAACTTGCATCATCATTAATTTGCATACCTTGTACCATGTGAGTCTTCGTTGAACTGAACTTCCAAACCTACTCCACTTGACGTTTTTCAATCCTTGCTCTGTGTAAATCTGTAATTTCTCTCCCAACAACCCAACCTTCATAAAAATTTCAATAAACCAATTGTAAGTGTAGTAAATCCTCACTATACTTGATTAGAAGAAAGGGATGTAATGTAGTAAATCTCACTATTCTTGGTTAGACGAAAGGGATGTAATGTCTGGATATGCATATTCTTTCATTTTTAAGAAAATATGAATATGCATGGTGCCAAGGCTAATCTCTATGTCATAAAAAATTACTTTGTAAAACATGCATTCTTATTGCCAAATGCCAGAATTATTTAGATGTAAGTAACCCAAAACGAGCTTGTTGTAAAGATTTGGGAACTGAGAAGTAGTGAGGTTAATCATGCTCTGATCAATGGATGTGTGAGGTTAGCCAGGCTCTGTTCATTGACCAGAGTATTCCTTTCAGTTAATCCGTGTTTCTAGTTTTTCATCTCAATTAGATTGCTGTCCTCCAAGTAGTTGTGAAACGTGTTGTGAGAATTCTTATTGAAGCCGAAACCTTCATGGTTTCTGTTGAGGAGGGAAACTTTTGTAATATCAACATATTCGAGGCTGTTAGAGGCAACAAATACTGAACTCTCACGGGGAAAGAAGTGGGTAGATGATTGAATGATTTTTCCAAGCAACCTCTGGCAGCTAGAAGGCAAATGTTCCATGAAGGAGGTTAACAGAGAATCCAACAAATATTTTTTTGGCTTCTTTGGAGTTTTCCCTCTCACTTCCTTTTGGAGAGGAAAATCTACCTAAACCTAGATATTTAAAGCCTTGTGTTATTTTCTCTTCCCTTTTGAGTTAGGGAGCATAGCACATGGGCTGGATCTTACAGGCGTGAGGTTCATTTTCTTTCCTTACCTTTGAAGAGGAATTGCAGGGGATATTTTCTGGAAGTAAGGGGGAAGAATGTTGTGGGCATTGGAAGGGTACTGGTCCTAGAAGGTACTAAAACTGACTAAAGGTAGAGATTTACGATAGCTATTGAACAAGTCTGCAAGTTAAGCCTTGAGGAGAGAGAAAGGAATTAGTCACAGACCTGTGTGGTTGAATGATGAACCAGAAAAGAACCGGCCTTGCAGCTTGCTGGGGATATCAAATCAAAAGGTCAGAGGTAGTGAAAGCTGCACTCTGGCATAAGACATAGTCGGTTCTTCTAGTGACGAAGAAAGAAATCTCAAAAATCGAGGAAACTCGTGTCTCTGCTTTGCAGAGACTTCCTCCATCATGTGAAAAAGAGTTAGTGTCTTAGAATTTTTTTTTGGAAATCTATCTCAGAGAAATGGCCCAAAAAATGAGAAGTTCACAGCCTAAGAGAAGAGGAAATTGGTTCAATTCAGGGAGAAGAAAATTGTAAGGCTAAAAAGGTCTAAATTTTTTTGCCTAGCAGAGCTCCTAT